GTGAGCGGGAACCAGTCTGTATGTGGGATCCGAACCCTCGGCGGGAGCGTCGCCGCGCTTCCCAAGCTGCACACTATAGCAGTGCGCCACCGGGCCGGCCCTAGTTTCTACCATAACTCCTTTCGTTTAATTATGAGGAATTGGGTCAAGGGTTTGGATCCTCTTACCAGCCAGCTGCCAAATAAAAACCAAACAAACCAAAACCAGAAAACAAAAACAAGCAAACAAAAAAAGGGGAATTGTCCTTTTATATTTCTTTAATGTTATTTCCCCCTTGAAATCATTGTGCCTGGGGAAAAAAAAAAAAAGAAAGAAAGAAAGCAATCATTGTGTCTAAATCTCTGTCTCCCTGTCTCTGTCTCTCTCCCCATGCACACACCAGTGGAGCCCAGGGTTGGTGGGGGTGGGGCTCCCAGGGACAAGTGAGAAGAGTGAGAAACTCCCCCTGGAAACAATGGAGAATGTCAAACCAAGGAACTGACCAGAGCCAAGACTCCTGTCTAACTCAGATATGGACCTAGGGACTTGGAACTGGGAAGTGAGAACCACTGCAAGAGGTCTAGAGCAGGGCTGTTTCATAGAAATACAGTGTGACCCAGATAGGTACTTTTAAATTTTGTGGTAACCATATTAAAAAAACTAAAAAAAAAAAAACCAGATGAGGGGCTGGCCAGTTAGCTCAGTTGGTTAGAACGTGGTGCTAATAACACCACAGTCCAAGGTTTGATCCCTGTACCAGCCAGCTGCCCCCCCCAAAAGAAACAGATGAAATTAATTTTACTAATATATTTTATTTAAGCCAATATATCAGTACTCATTATTAATGAGATTTCACATTCTTATTTTGTTTTAAGTCTTCAAAATGCAGTTTGTATTTTATACTTAACAGCTCATCTCAATTGGGACTGGTCACATTCCAAGGGCTCAATAGCCACATGTGACTAGTGGCTATTGGGCAGGGCAGGCCAGAGAAATGGTTCTCAAACATGTTGGACCGAATGTCTCCTTTTATAACAAATGGCTTGTATTGCCCCTACCATCCTGAAATGAAATTTATATACTATAACCTGTATCAATTAGAGTGGGCTAAATGGCTGTAACAAATAGAATACAAAGTATATAGTAGCTCAAACAAACACAGTAGAAATTGAGTTCTTGTTAATGCATTTTGCAGTCCTCTTTTTATCTGAATCCAGAAAGCAGATAGGCTAAGAGAACGTGGAAGGAGCATAGTGCTTCTTAAAATTCTCAGCTCGGAGATAGCATACACTACCTTCCACTAACCTGAACTTGACTCAGCCATGTGGATACACTTAACAACAAGGGAAGCTGGGAAATTTTGTGTAGCTGTATGCCCAGGAAGAAGAGAAACAGGTGAACAGCCATCCCTATCTATGTATGTATTTTAAAAAATAAAAATATATATGATATAAAGAACAATAATGTAAAGGGGAAATCAAAGGAAAATAATTATAGTAAAGTAACATACATTTCAATAATATATGTGTCTGTCTGTATTTCTAAATACAGGAGAAGAAATAACGAAGTAGTCAGGTGTTTGCCCTTGTATTTGGAATCACCATGAATGTGACAGGTGCAAATGCTGGGGTGTGGTATGGGTGATCAGACACCCTGAGTGGCCCTAGTGTAGTGATTTTCTGAAATAGTAAACATTGTTGACAAAATTCTGAACAAAGTAAAATATTATTTTCTCTTAATTTATAGGGTAGTTGCATTGCTGGAAACTTCCATATATATTAAAATTGTTTAAAAATTTGTGATTATATGTAAAACAGAGTTAGAGTCTAGGTTCAGAGCATTATAAATGGATTTTTCACTTATATTAGGTCTCTGGCAAGACATTCAGTAATTCTTTGTTTTGTTATGTGGAACGGGTCATTCAGTATCCCAGGCCCTGAGATTTCCAAAGTGCCTCCCAGGGAATGGTTCTGCCATTTCCCCAGCTAAAATCAGTTCTTTGGGGGTGGAGAAAGGAAAAATAGGTACTGGGACGCAAATAGCAGTAGCTGCCTCCCTCTCTCCTCTATTGTTGTTTCTCACCATCTTCCTGTAGGATTTTCCAGCATTCCGCATTCTCCCTGATAGGACGGAAGACGTCATGCCAGCCAACACCCTGGCCCTTGCGGGAATCACCTATGTACCCCAGGCACTGATTAGTGTTTTTAAATCCTGTTCCATTTCGTGAAAAGGTAAAAATCATAGTAGGCGGAGAGAAGTTTATTTTATTTAAGTTACCATTTTACGCATTTAATGGGTTTTTCTGTCTGTTTTTCTTGAATGGGACTTTGGAACTTTTCTCTTCCTTGTGCATTACCACATTTCCTCACAAGGTGGCACTCAGTGCCTTGCTGTGGTTGTCAGGGGTCATGCAGGCCCAGCTGTTTCCTTGATGCGTCTATTCAACAGCGGGTGGGTGTCCACAGTTAACCTTGGGGCTTCCCTGGTGTTCAGGTTTGGAAGTAACTGAGAGAGAAGAAAACACCCACCTTTCTCTCTTCAGGTGGGGATAGCTTTAATTTAGTCAACTATAAAAGGTAAAATTAAACGGCGTAGTAACATCCTAATGAATATTCTAGGGTGTTTTGGTTCCTTGAAATGTTTTTGCCATTCCCTCAGCAAATGTTGGTCATACAATTAGTACAGTACGTGTTATAATGCATCTAAATTCAGCTTTACTAGAGATACAAATTCTCTTCATTCACATTTCTCTGAAACTTCCTATAGTTGTGAAACTGTAAAGAGAAAGAATATTAGATGAAAGCTGATAATGTCCTAATCAATCACCTGAAGAAGTAAACTCAATATCCTTGTCAAAGTTGACAAACATCTAATCTGCAGGTACATTTTTTTGACATTTAAAATAAACATACAGGATTAATAAAGAGGCACTTGCTGGAGAAGTCTGATGACCATCCAGACGAATCTCATGCATTGTCATTCCATCGTGATGGGTCCCTGAGAGCCTAAGACCCACGTTAACAGCACTCACAAGAGACTCCTGTAGAAAAACTGCAATGCTGACTTATTCTTTGCTTGATGCAAATACTCACGTTTGCTCCATAGCACATTCTTTTTCTTAAAACACATGCACGTGGAAAGTCTGATTATAAACAGAAGATGCTTATCAGGGGTGGAGTCAGCGCAGGAGAGTTGGCTGGATGATCTTAGTGCTGGTGTCGTCAGGTAGACTGGTGACATAGATTAGATTCTCACAGTGGTGGTCCAGGACCCTCTCTCTTTAGGATAGCATTGGCGGTGCACTGCCCACCTTTTCTTCTCTCAGACTCTCTTTTCTGTAGTTTCTTCATTAATCACACAATCTTCATTAAAGCATACTCCACACTGATAAGTCACTCTTAGATGTGTTAAGTAATATGCATCCTTTGTTGTTGGCCTTGATGTGGGAGCCATTATTCCTCTGAAGATGATTCCCTCCAAGGACATACCCTGAGAGGTGCGTGCCGCATTTCAGCTCACATCCCCTTGGCTGCAGCAGCGGTTCCCAAACTTTCCAAGTCCTCAGTGCCTTAGTATCTCAGTTGTTTTTTTTCATGGCCCCCCGTAGGCCAAAAGCAATACCTGACAATTAAAACAACTTAAGTATCTATGTCCTAACAACTTAGTAGCTCTTTGAAAGAATAGTACACAAAAATTAAAACATTTTTCTTTTAATTTCATTCTTAAATAACCACAATTATCTCAAATCTTGGAATCAGACTAGACACCACCACCCTCATTTCTTGTTCCACATTCATTTTCATACTATATTTGCTTTTCATCCCAGCAACGACCAAAAACCCAGCTTTATAAAGATGCAATGTCATCCAAAGAATCTAGTGCAATTTAATGTTGAAATTGTGAACTTCCTCTAGCCAGTAGTGTGCATGACATCTGACAGATGTCAACTATCACTGTGTTTCCCTCAAAAATTTAAAATATTTATGGCGATCCTGTTCACTGTGGTTCCCTGGGTACCTGCCACACAGTTTGGGAACTGTGGGGCTAGATTTTAGTCATGTGGCTACATGAAGACTGAGAAATACATTTAATCTGTTGCCTCTGCTTTAATGGATTAAATGTTAACTTTTGTATTTTTGTTCTCACAGGGGTGTTTTATATCCCTGTTTATAAGTTCTTGAAAGTAGCTGATTATTGCCTCCTGGTAATAATAATGATTATGCTAATGGTCACCATTTATCGAGCATTTATATGTAATCAGCCCTCTAAGGTGCTTTTCACTTGTGTTCTCCCTGAAAGCTCACAACAGCTTTTGAGGTAGGTACAGGTATTATTTCTATTATATATATAATGGGAGGAAATATATACGAGGGCACTTCAAAAAGTTTGTGGAAAAGTAGAATTAAAAGATAATATGAATCTTTCCATGAACTTTTTGAAGACCCCTGGTGTGTGTGTGTGTGTGTGTGTGTGTGTGTGTGTGTGTATATGAGGAATCTCCTACTTAGGTTAAGTATCCTGCCCAAAATCCATAGCAATTAAGTGGCAAAGCAGGATTTGAACCAGGCTGCCTGATTTTAGAGCTAACTCTCTCCGCCACCATGCTGTGTCACCTTTGATACTTACTGACTACAGAAATGAGGAACAATGTTACATATTTGTGTTGGCATTATTTGCTATTCTGCTTATGCTAAATAACTAAATCAATATTGCCGTTTATACAGTAACTATCTTTGAAGGATTAGAGAATTGAATTCTTCCAATGCCACTGAACAAGCATGAAGGAGAAGAGAGACTTGTTCAAATAGTTGAGGGTTAACTTCTCCCCAATTCTAGTCTGAACTAATACAGATGGAGAAAGGGGAGGCCAGTATTCCACCTCCCAAGCTGTTCTTAGTCGAAGCCCCTTCCCTGCAGAGGCGTGACGTGAACACATCTCACTAACATCTTGACCACCTGTTTTTGCTGCAGGAGGCCGAGGGGAGGATGGTGCCCCCATCATCACTTTTCCAGAGTTTGCCGGCTTCCAACACGTCTCAGATGAGGACTTCCTGAATGTCATGACCTACCTGACTAGCATCCCCAGGTGAGTGGAACACAGTGTGGCCTGATGTTTAGACAGTGTTTGTCCACTCTCTAGCAGAGCAGGCTTGGCCAGGAAAGGCCTCACCCTACACAGCTTTGCATTCCTATGACATCATCCCTTCTTAACACAGCGTGGCTAAGAATTTACACTGCAGTCATCTAAGTGCTCTTTGGCCTGCTTCCCATGTGCCTCATATGACTTAGGGGTGGACACCAGCTTTGTAAGTGAAAGGCACCTGGAGTCTGATCCCTTGCGTGGAGATTAGGAAGTTGATTGCTTTAAACAAACCCACTCTAAAAGGTTTTTTTGTTGTTGTTTTTGGTTTTTTGCCTGTCATTTCTTCAGAGAAGACTATTTATTTTATTTTTAATTCATTTCTTTAAAGTTTAGTACTTAAATTATATTTTACCAATTCTCCCGTCTTTCTTCACCTCTTCCCCACCTCCATATGATATGCATTAAGGCAGACACATTAGGATTTGGGGGCTCCTTCGTTGCTTTGAGGGAAAGCTGCTGTACCCCCTCTGGGCTTTGCTCATACAATTCTCTCTGCAGGAACATGTCTCCCACCCTTCTAGGCCTGGCTGATTCCTACACATTCATCAGCCTCTCAGCTCTGACCTCATCTCTTTGAAGAAAACTTCCATGACACCAATTTTGCTCTCACAGAATCTTTTCTTTATTTCCACAGAACCCTGTGCTTCCCCCTTACGTAAAACACATATGTATATGGAAGTTATTTCTACCTCTCCCATTAGGCTGTGAACTTCTCAAGGTGGGGGTGGGGGGAGAGGAGCAATGATTCTCTTTTCTTTTTTTTTTTTCCTCCAGACTGAGCACAGTGCCCAGCACATAATAGGTTCTCAGAAGTAATTTTTATTATTAGCCTATTCATTGTTATAAATCATACTTATTCCTTTTTTTTTTTTTGTCTTTTTGTGAGATCGGCCACACCGCGCTCAGTCAGTGAGTGCACTGGCCATCCCTATATAGGATCCGAACCCGCGGCGGGAGCGCTGCTATGCTCCCAGCACCGCACTCTCCCGAGTGCGCCACGGCTCGGCCCAATCATGCTTATTCTTTATGCCCCTTATCCAATCTCTCCCCTTCTCCCTCCTCCTACCTCCTTTTCTCCTCCCCCTCCCCCCTCTAATAACCATAGATTTGTTCTGTCCATCTGATAGATTAACTGTTCCTCTGTTGATCTGTTGCCTAGATGATCTGTCCGGTCCTGAGGCAGGTGTGATCAAGTCCTCCCCTATTATCGTAAATCAGATGCTTCTTCTATTACTCTGGAGTGTGCTTTGTGGAGACACAGGACTGCTTATTCTTTTTCTTTTTTTTTTTTTTTTCTTGGTCTCTGCTGGTGCCTCTCCTTGTGTCAGTGTAGCTGAGAGTGTGGCGTGCCATGTGCACGGTGGCCGTGACTGCTGCTATAGAGACTAGCCACTTTTGCGGCAGCCACAGCAATTGTGGTGGCTATGGTGGGCTACCCACGAGGAAATAGTGTTTTTGGTGTGCTTTTACCTGGTTGTGGCTGGATTCAGCTTTCGCTGGCTCCATGCCTCATTCTAAGATGTTGTTACGGAACAGTTGAGGGGGAGGAGGAGAAGAGAAGGGGGAGGGGAAATAGGGTGAGAAGAGGGGGAAGGAGCGGGAGTGTGATTGAGGCTCATGGCCCCCCCCATCCCAGCAGGGGAGACCAGGGGGTTCCAGCGACAGCTGGGTCATCTTTGGGCTGGTTGCAGATGTCAGGAGTGTGGCTGAGGCCCTTGGCCCTCCCCCTCCCTGGCTTGGGAGCCCAGGGGGCTTCCGGTCCTTCTAGGTTTTATAGGTGTTCTTTGGTGGTGTTAGACCTTTACTATTTAATATCAAACTTTGTCTCTGATCTGCGGGTATTTTGTTTTTTCTTTCAGTTCTCTGTTGGATTATTCACTGTTCCCACCACTTAAACTCTGCACTGGAACTAATTTGTTGTCCTTTGGTTACTTATAAAATGGGGGAACTTGCTGTGGGGACCAGCACTTGAGTCCTGTAGTTGAGCTAAATTGCTGCTGTGCTGCTGATTCCCTGGGGAAGGCTTTTTGTGCAGCTCAGGTTTTAACAGTTAACCTCGTATGTACTTCCTGGCCTTGTGAGGTCCAGTATATCTGGATTATGTGGAAACTCTGGTCGGGGCCTGAGTCTTTTCAGCAAACTGTGCCCCTGCACTTCTATATTCCTGACCAGTCTCCACTGAGTGGTCCTGTGCTGATTGGGGGGCAGATCAGCTGTATGTGCTGTGCCCCAGTGTTTTCCTGGTGGATCCATCTCCCCCACCACCCACACTCCAAACACTTCCCATGGGACAGGCCGTGCACTGGTCCCCTGCAATGACTCACAGGCCTCTGAGTGGCTCCTCTTTTCAGTTGTTGTGGCTCCTCGTTCCTATGTGGGTCCACGGGAACACCGTTAGTAGTTTTCTGGCCTAGGGGCCACCACGGCCCTCTTCTCCCTGCCACTTCCAAGCAACTTCATACCTAGGGCACAGCTGTGGCTTTTGCCAGCTCCTGCTCCGTGTGCTCACCAGGGCCAGCATAAAGTGGCTGGGTCTTGAAATGGTGGGAGCAATCCTTTCTTTCTCTCATCGTGGCTTCTCCTGCCTTCGTGAACCCCGCAGGTCTCTCCTCCTCTTCCCCTGAGCTCTAGTGGCCCCAGCTTGGCTATTGTTTTTTTTTTTTATAGTTGTAAATTGGTTGATTTGTGGGAGAGAGAGATGCTGGGGACCATCTATTCTGCCATCTTGACCAGAAGCATCAGGTTTTCAGAAGTAATTTTAGAAAATTTCCAGTTTCATCAATGATTCATTGTAAACAAAAGGTGTTTGTTGTACAGTGATGACAAGGTTAAAATATGCTATTCTGGCATATTGGTGATTCAAGTTAAAGGCACTTGAAGAACAGCAGGTGCAAGAAGATCACTTTGACGTTCCTGCTGTTTCTTTTTTTTCTTTTCCTTTTTTTTTTTTTTTTTGTCCTTTTTGAGACCGGCCGCACCGTGCTCAGCCAGTGAGCGCTGTGGCGCACCAGTCATCCCTATATAGGATCCGAACCCGCGGTGGGAGCGCTGCTGCGTTCCTAGTGCCGCACTCTCCCTAGTGCGCCACGGGCTCGGCCCCCTTCTGTTTCTTAAAAGCAGAAGATGAAGTCCCCTGTGAAAGACAGTCTCCCTATTCTAGGAGGGAAGGCAACATCCTCATCTTCAAGGGTGAGATTTGAGACCTAGAGAATGCTATATAGACCTCGTTTAAATAAATCTTGTCTTTTAAGCCTCACCACATAATTTAGTCACATTTTCACAATTTACTATTCTTTGTTCAATCTGCTGTATAAGTAACTGAGTCTGCATCTTTGAGTCTTCATTTCTTTACAAGGGCTCCCATGCTACATAAAACATTTGTAAATAAATTTGCATGCTTTCTCCTGGTAATCTATATTATGTCAATTTAATTCTTGGAACCAGCTGGGACCCTAAGAGGAAGGAGGTGGAGTTTTCCCACTCATACAGTGAGAA